TCCTTTAGTGGACTTAGATATCCTAGGTACTACTAAAAGTCCAGAGTTTTGTGACCTTAAAGAGCGTGATGGATTATAGGGCATAAGAAGATCAGTTACAAATAAAGTGGATTTACAGCCTAAATATATGTGTATTTATATATACAGCATACGCAAAGATTGCTGTAAGGGTCTTTTAATTGCTAAAGCTTCAGCAAGTTCATGCTATGAGCAATATCTAGCCTAGTCTTTGCTATGAGATACGGGGTATTTCTTCAGATGAGCGCTGCCACCTGTAGGTTCTGTGTGAACATTACTCGTGCAGCAGCTTTGAAGCATGAGGGCTTCACCAGAGATGGTTGGCTCCCCCCACATTTGTCACGGGTCACCTGGGGTCTCAACAAGAGCAAGAAGTGCTATCGGTTCTTGTTCCAATAGACTGTTTCTTCCTCTGCTCAGGACGCTCTCTGGCAGCAAAATGGATTTTCCATTTGAAGAGGAATTATTGCAAAACAAGAGCAAGAAGTGCTATCGGTTCTTGTTCCCATAGACTGTTTCTTCCTCTGCTCAGGACGCTCTCTGGCAGCAAAATGGATTTTCCATGCGGAGCTGCTGTTCATAACGATTCAAGCAAAAAAACATATGTTTGTGACTTTTATCTGATCTAACTGGGAACAAGGGTGAGATTGAGATTCATTACGCGAATGCTTGGCTGAAGAGATGTGTCTTTAATCTAAACAGAGAGAGTGTGTTTGAGCCCCGGACATTATCAGGAAGACTATTCCAGAGTTTGGGAGTCAGATTGGAAAATGGTCTCCCTCCTTTAGTGGACTTAGATATCCTAGGTACTACTAAAAGTCCAGAGTTTTGTGACCTTAAAGAGCGTGTTGGATTATAGGGCATAAGAACATCAGTTAAATATACAGGAGCTAAACCATTTAGTGCAGATGAGCGCTGCCACCTGTAGGTTCTGTGTGAACATTACTCGTGCAGCAGCTTTGAAGCATGAGGGCTTCACCAGAGATGGTTGGCTCCCCCCACATTTGTCACGGGTCACAACAAGAGCAAGAAGTGCTATCGGTTCTTGTTCCCATAGACTGTTTCTTCCTCTGCTCAGGACGCTCTCTGGCAGCAAAATGGATTTTCCATTTGAAGAGGAATTATTGCAAAACTGTAAGTACACGCTGGTTAAATAGAAAATGATTTGAAAGAGTTTATGTCGTTATTTTACCCAGGTTAAGGGAAGATGAAACGCCTTCGAACTTATTTTACTTCCTTGTGTGAAGTACAAGAACGACTGTT